TATATATATATATATATATCAGAGACTGTGACGATGACCGTTCGACTACTGCTATCTACACCGGCGCTGAAGGAAAGTATACACGTAATCTTTTTTTAGGCCCGAGATCGCGGTGATCGTTGTGTGTCTTTTTCTCTGTCATGTATTACATACCTGTATCTCTGTTTCGTTTCGCCGGTATTTCAATCATCTGTCGTGACAATCGTACATCATTTGTGATTAAATTTTCATCATTTTGTGTTGTCTCGCTCATGAAAAGAAAAAAAGAAAAATAACATACCAGAGGAGCATTCCAGTAAGTGAGACGGTAAACCGTATAAGCCCGAGTCAACTTTTATAACGCGATGAAAAAGAAAAAAAAAAAAAAAAAAAGAGTACAACCTTGAGCATAAAAGGTACATTATACATGTACACGCAAAAAGAGAGATAGAGAGATGATAGAGAGAGAAAGAAATAAAATCGATCGGCTCGGCGTAGGCGGCAGCTATATCCGCACTGATGCACACCACGGATGCATGCGCGCATAAATATACATCTTAACGTACATATAACCCGCGATGCATGTGATTGAGCATGAAGGGCATGAAGCGCAGCAGCATCCTAATGGCACACGCGGCGCACATACCAGATTAGATGCTCGTTAATATATTGTATTTTCCACTTTCGCGTGTGTGTGTGTGTGTGTGTACATAAATAACCGCGTGTGGGTACGGTTATACGGCGAGGCGAAAGGGGATGTATATATGTGTATAAAATGCACATATATAAATATACATTCTTGACTTTGACGGAGAGCGTTAGGTACGTCGGATATTTACAACTATTACACGTACGTAATATTATAGTGTGTATATGTAAGCACAGAGCCGTGCGCGCATTATACAGGAAACTGTGTGTGAGCGAGTGTATATTATAAGTATAATATCATGTTTGCCTAGTGAATGCTGCAGCTGTGTATATTATATATATATATACGTGTATAAATTGCTCGTTTTTATACCACATGTGCGTGTATAAATACGAGGGGAACAAAACGCAGGAAATACCCAAAGCACCGAGACCTGGTGGTGATTGTACCTTTTTTTTTACTTGGATCGATTTTTTTTTTTTTTTTTAAATTTTTAATTTTTCCAATGTCCCCCTTTCCTCTTTGGTTGCACACAATGGTGATAAAACCATCCTCCATTGACTGAAAAATGTTTTTATATGATTGATTGATTCTATTTGACCAAATTGATCGTTAAATGAGCACTTGGCCTTGAACCTCTGTTACAATTATATATCCATACATGATAGATTGGGCGTTACTTGTAACGGTATGTAATTTAGACAGTAGTTAAAATCGTATCTGATTGTCACGTATACAATTATCGTATCCAACATAATGTTATAACAATAGATTTTGTGTATTGAAAACATATATGTATATATATAATTTTGATAACAAACATGCACAGTTTCCATGATTGTCTTTTGTCATTTGTATCGTATGTGAGTAAATTGACGTTGTTATGTATTATATACCTATACCTACCAAGTATGTACGAACGACAGCCCTGAAGATTATTAAGTGACAGCTAATGTATCAACGTGGAAGACGCAAAAGACAAGGAACTAGAAAAAAAAAAAAAAAAAAGAAACTAACAAGGAACAGTGTACGACTGCTACTGTTGATTTTCTGGATCGAGTATACTTAAAACGCTTTGCACCGGTATATAGATGGTTTTTATACGTACTAATATACAGCCACGTGCATCGTTAGTTACGGGCAACTTGCAATTAAACGTAGATAAAATTTTTATTTCACGATGATTATTAATATAATATTGAAAAAAGAGTGCCCGTAACTATACGGCGGTAACAATATACATTAACCAAATAACTGGTCTTGAGATGCGAGCTTGTAAGATATACCGGTAACACACCGCTTTACCTTTGAACTTGAATGAGCACCCAAAAATAACATGGTCTTGAAAAATAAGTTTAGTAGTCTGGATGAAAAAAAGACGGAACAGACGGTGAACAACGTAACTGCAACGAAAAAAAAAAAAAAAAAAAAAAAAAAAAAAAAAAAAAAAAAAAAAAAAAAAAAAAAAAAAAAAAAAAAAAAAAAAAAAAAAAAAAAAGAAAAGTTGACAAGGTAAAATAAAAAATGACGAGAGCCCCACCTCCTCCGGCAACCATTTCGCGGGGGGATGGTGTGTATCTTGCAGTGCCGTTCAAGGGCCCGCCGCGCTACAATCCAAAGCGACGCTCGGTGGCGTTCACCTGTGGCCTGTCGACCAGCTGCTCAGCCGGGAACCTCGGCACCCTCACCAGACAACCGTCCAGCGCCGAGTACCAGCAGCCATTGACCCCGTCCTCGCCAATCGGCATGTCCACGTCTCTGGTGCTGACTTCGCCCACCACCTCGGCAGCCAATACCCTCAATCGCTCCCAGCACGAGCACTACTCGAACCCGAGCAGGGTCGTATCCTCGGCTGACGCTTACTTGGCCGCGGGTAGCCTCGGCAGGGCCCCGAGCGCCGATAACCACCACCACTCGACCATGCCCCGGGCAGAGTCCCACCACGGATGCCTGAACAGAGTACCGTCCATTGAACAGCAGCAGACCAGTGCCGGTTCTGCCACTGTTGATCCCTCCGTGCCTGCGTCGGCGAGCGCCAATACCAATACCATCCAGAGAAATCCGTCCGAGCGACAGCTAACGCAGCAAAGATCGGAATATCAGAGCCCTGCCCAGCTCAGGGAGCTCGCTGCGAGGTGAGCATAAACTGTCTTTGCCGGGACGAGGTATACATGTATATATATATTATGTACTCCTCGATCTCTCCTCGCCGATTGTGCGAAATTTTTTTTTTTCTTTCTTTTTTTTTTTTTTCTTTTTTTTTTTTCTTGGCGATCCCCCTGTCGCTCATAAAATTCATTCGTGCTTTTGTTATTACTGTATGCTTTTTTTTTTTTTTTTTTCACGTGTCATTGCATATTCATCAGGCTCTCCGATCGTTCACCACCGTCATTGTCGTTACACGTCCTTTCACCTTCCATTCCCGATCCGATGACCCAAAGTAAACAAACCCTAAATCAATAATCTGCGAGAGAGAGAGCTATGATCGCGCTTGCAAAGACAATTTACGCATACCTATTGACCTATCTCTGTGTGTGTATTATGTAAGATAAAATTAAGTGGCTCTTTGGATTTTGACGATGCGACGCGCGAGCGTGTATTCTTATTTCTTAAGCGCGAAAGTATCGTTAGGATCGAAAGTTCGCCATTTGTATGGAGCAAACGAGGGCAAATGTTTAACCGGTACAAAAACAAAAACAAAACAAAAAAAAAAACGCTCGCGTGCGCCGGCGAAAATTTAAAGATTACCGACAAGCGGCGAGCACTATCAGAACGTGCGAGTCGAGGGCTTGACGAGGCTGCAGGAGCACCGGATCGAGCTCCAGCACCGACTCGACATACACCAGCACTCCGGCACTGGTGGCCTAAGGCCGATCGACATGCCACCCTCGCCCTCGCCGAGTAGCCGCAGTCTGGCGCCTTTCAGCTCCGCGAGCTCTAGTCTTTCCGAGGGCAGCAACCAGCCGTCCGGCGAGGACTCGGCCAGCATTGTCACAGGTACTTGTGCTTCTTTTTCTATCTCCCTTCCTTCTCTTTCCTCCTCCGGTTTCCTTTAAATTTTTTTTTTTTTTTTTCATTTATTTTACAATAGTATCAACAACCCCTCCAGTACTGCATCTTTTTTTTTCCTTTCCCTGTCCCTGTCCCACTTCTGTTTGTTTCTCTTCTACTTGTACTTTTATACGAAAAGTCGACGGTCTATCCGGAAAAGGAAGCGCTTCGACGTCGATTGTACGTAGATGTGTGTGACATCACCACCAGGAACTTCTCGAGTACGTAAAAAAAAAAAAAAAAAAAAAAAAATGCTCGGCGATGATTTTTTCCATCAGAAGGTAGTGATTTTAGTCTTGCGTGTTCAAATGAGACACGAGTACTCTTTGTTTTTTTTTTTTCATTGCAGAGCCAATAGATTACTTTTTTTTTTTTATTCTTCAGCTTCTTTTCGACGTATATATTTGCTAAGAAATCATTGAACATAATAACATTTATACCCATTTCTTTGCACTAGTTATGTTTTTTAAACATTTGTTACCATAGAGTCTTGTTATATATACTTACATCATTCATATAGACTATATTTATATACAATTAGCTTTATACATTCGTACATGTATTTGTGTGTGATGTCACTCGACAAACAATCATTATCATCATCATCATCATTAGATGTCATGGTTTTATATCTAGAGCTAGAGCATTGTTCGTTGAATCTTATATATCTCACAATTTTGTTTTTTTATCAAATCACGTTTGAACATATATTATATACATTATACAATATATTATATCATACATTCATGTATTTGTTGGCTTGCCTTTTATAATACATTTAAAAGAAGAAAAAAAAAAAAAAATAACTTCATCAACTATACTAAATAACTGGTTCTGGTGTTATCACTCTAATGTCACATTGAATGTTCACATCAATAATATTACTTAATGTTTTCCAATCACAATATTACAAATGTTTTGTGTGCTGTCAACATTTTTACACGTTATAAAACCAAACAACGATAAATTCCAGACATAGTGATAATCTCATGATGTGCATGTTGATAAAAAAAAAGATATGCATCTCGTGATAACAAAAAAAAAAAAAAAAAAAAAAAAAAAAAAAAAAAAAAACGTAAAAATAGAACAAGAGACCGGTCTTATCAAATGTCCACGTGTTTCCGAACGCATGTACAGTAACCTAGATTCGTTAAGCATCAAAGTAGGTTCGAGCACATGTATTTGAAAATACTCGGCAAGTGAACTATTAAACGCGAGAAATAAAGAAACCCATTAAGATCCAATCACAAGTGAAACATTAAAATTAAAAATAACACGTTGATTCAAACCGAGAAGCCGCTTATCGATTTCCATCAAGTAAGTATAGGTATACTTGCTCCGTGAATCATCATCAACGGCTCTTTGTCTTTTTGACGTATCTTATCTACAGTTCGCGCAACTCATTATCAATTCATTATCAATTTAGAAGTAAAAAAAAAAAAAATGAATGAAAATTTATTCGTTACGCACCTACGCTATTTAAAAAACAACCGATTCTTTTTCAACGCTAAACTCCTGTACGCCCAAACTACAGGATTCTACTCTCGTTTCGTAAGTCATGTATACGTGCACTTGCGTTAACCATTACTTTCGAAAGTTAAAAAAAAAAAAAGGAAAAGAAAAAGAAAACCACTTGTTCGAGTACACACCTATTAAAAGGCCATTTAACTGGGAGGAAACACAAGCGTTTACTCAGTGATAAACGGGGCGATAGCAGCGTGGGCGCGCGTCGATACACCTCACTCCCGAAGATCTCGTCGCGCTCGACGCGGTTCATCTTCACCTCCGATTATTCGGATAAACACGACGTGTGTAATAAAACAGGGCGAGCCGCGGAAAGGGGGGGAAATAAACGCGACGCAAGATGAAGAAAAAAAAAAAGTGTTGTCTGACACCGCGCTTCGGTGGTGATGCGCGCTCGTCTGTTGCAGACAAGAGCCTCGGCGACACGGCCTCGGACGTCATAAGCGACAGCTCGGGCGTCGGCACCTCGCAATCGGACACGACCAACAATTCGCTCTCGATACCCGGGACCACAGTCGTGTGCGTCGAGGGCTACAGCAGCGGCATACCCGGACACCTCAACATCAACCAGGGCGACATTCTCGAAGGTCAGTGTACAACGCGCGCAACATTTTTATTTCATTCCTTCCAATCAACGTGTTTTTCACCAACTATACGAGAAATACCGCTCATCGAACGCGCGCGCACACACACGTCGCGCGCACGTATTTTCAAACGAATAGTCCATTATCTTTTGGTAATTAAGAGCAGTGGAGGCATTTATTATTTTCCCCCAAATAAGACTCAGTCGCGTTTCGGCACTTGATTGGGTCGCGTCGAAATGAAGAAGCAGCCAAGTGGGTGATTATATAGTGCCAAAAAAATGATAATGGTGAATAAAATATTTGTTTGTCTCGTTTGTCAGTGACGGGAGCAACGGACTGCGGACTGTTGGAGGGTGTGCTGCGGGGCCAGGGCACCGGACTGTTCCCGGCCCATTGCGTCCAGGAGGTCAGGCTGCGTCACACCAACATACCGCTGGGGCAGCAGGCGGTGGCGCGGGAGGCCGCGGCCGTTGCCAACAGGAGCCGCGTGCTGGGTCGCCGGGAGTCGCAGCACAAGTACTTTGCCACTGCTCCTAGATTAAAAAAACCGTGAGAACACCCACAACGGAGAACATATAATACTTTATGCGTTGCATTATATTGTACACGTATCGCTCGACAGCTTATTTCATTATCATTGTTGTTTTGTGTATACGCTTATCCGTATATCTCTCCCTTTTTTTTTTTTTTTTTTTTTTGTCATCTGTACAGCTTTTACATTTTTGCTTTTTTTTATGGGTAGATGGTGTAATAGTGCCTTGCTGAACTTTTTTTTTTTTCTGCTGTACTAGCCGAGTAAGAATTAATAAAAAAAAAAAGAACAAGTGTATAAACGAGATGCTAAGATCTCGTGTTTCTCTTTCAATAGTCGAGCATGTTGTATACGTTTATTTTCGATATAACACGTTATTGCTTCGAGCAAAAAAAGAAATGATAACCAAAGTAAAATTAAGCTTCGTTGACGTCACTCGATATATCGGTAATATCGTAAAATTGAGCCAAATTTTTTTATTAAAAAACAATTTATTTTGAATGAAATATTGTGGCCGTAGAGCGCTCAAGTAAAAAAAGTATGTATACGCGGAGCTCGCTTTGCCTCGTTGACCGCAATATATTATGTAGCATTGATCCTTGGGTATAAAAGATCGAAATAACGACCCGCAGTTTTCAACCGTACGATTGTAGGATAACGTCGGAGCCGCGCACGGTCGTGCTGCACCGGTCGCGCAAGGGCTTCGGCTTCGTGTTGCGCGGGGCAAAGTGCACCACCAACCTGACGGAGATGACCCTGTCGGCGCGCTACCCGGCCCTCCAGTACCTCGACGACGTGGACGAGGGCGGGGTCGCAGATCTGGCCGGGCTGCGAAAGGGCGACTTTCTCATCCAGATCAACGGCGAGGACGTCACCACTGCCCTCCACGAGCACGTGGTCGATCTTATCCGCAAGAGCGGCGAACTCGTGAGGATGACGGTCGTCTCGCCGCTCCTTGGTTTGCCGAATTCCCAGTCGGCCGCCGTTTTGCCGACTAGTCAGCCCGCCCAGAGGCAGTACGCGACCCTGCCGCGCAAGGCCAGCAACAGCGTCGCCATCGGGGGCACTTTGGGCAGGTCGCCCGCCCCGATGCCGCCCCGACGCGACCCCAAGACAACGTTGAGCGTAGGCAGGGCCAGGGCAAGATCCATGGTTGCCGGTCTAGGTGACCCTCTTTTTTTTTTTTTTTTTTTTTTTCATCACCACAACCTCGTTGTTGGATATTCATTTTTATTCGTCTCTGTAGGCGGTGGCGGTGACAAGGATGAGCGAGACGAGATGACGATGGGCAAGTCAAACAGCTCCGAGTCGCTGAATCTGAGCCAACAGGGCAACGCCAACCAGCCCAGGACGGCGAGCATACGGTCGAGACCGACCTCGAGCCGCATCACCGCCGCCGAGCTCGAGGTGAGCTTTTTTTTTTACATTACTATGGTGTACAATTGGCACCTGATGGTTGCCGATCTGTGTATATGTTTGACGGGGCACTATGTGCCGATGATTAATTCACATATATATATACTACATTATTCATAGAGAGCACGTTTGTCACTGCATCCGACAATTTTATTAATGTTTTGTATACACGAGAGCGTTATTGTTTATGGTTTACGTGCATCAAGTAAAATATTTTTATTTTGATCCATTTTTTAATATTATTTTCGGCCACCGGCGGCATCCGTCCTCCGCGCATGAGATGCATGACGACTAGCTCGCTCGGAGGATCGTTGTTTTTTTTTTGTTTTTCAAAAGGGGGAAAGAAAAAAAAAAGGCAAAAGGAGACGTTGGCCATGGATTCCCCGAGCGAGCTGTCGTGGGAACGGCCTGTGCATCGTCCTGTTTTATCGTTTTCAGGAGCTATTTCAGCGACAACAGGGCGCGGGTAGCATGAGCGCCGTCGCCCCGGCCTCTCGTTACGGCTCGATGATGCACGTGAACGCGATCGGCTGCGCCACCCCGAGTCCCAAGCCGCATCCAAAGTCGTCGGCAAAGTCGGGCAGGGTCTACGCCAGCGTGGCCGAGATGAAGCGCAAGGGCAAAGTAAGGACACAAGGACGTGCCACCCCCTAATTGAACGACCACCTCCTTTTTTTTTCTCCTCGCTTGTGCTTGACTCCCCCAAAAGTGCTCTGCTTGCATGATTTTTTAGACACGCGTAGAGTCGCATGCTACTTTTTTTTTCCAGTCATCGTCCAACCAATCGGACCCGACAGGTGGAGGATCTTGTACATTTTTTCACATACACACCGTAGTTTTAATATGTAGTTGTTTGTACTTTGTAAGTTTGCAATTCTAACAGCACGAACCATGAGTAAAAGTAAGTTCACACTCGATCACCCGTAACATATCCATCAACCGATCGATCACTTGGGAACTGACTCATTGTCCAAAAGTCCCTCTCTGTATATAACAACTAACACGTACGCCGAGTACATAAATCAAACTAACCCACGCGAGGGCTCATCGGTACGAAGCTCCCTCGTCAGTTGCAAATACATGTGAAACGTTTCCGTGCGCAGTCGTCGCGGGTGCGCTTCTTCGGAGGCTTGGGCGGTGGCTCGGACCTGCACCGGGACTTCCACAGCACCCCCGACCTAAACGTCCAAGCGGCCCAAGCGACGCACCAGGGCCTGGCCTCCAAGGGCCACCGCAGCCAAGAGGACGTCAACGCCATGAGGAACGGCCTTCCGCCCCCTAACCACCCACCACCACCACCGCCCGTTGGCCAAGTTGTCAAGGTCAACGTCAACGCCCCCGTGACGGACGCCCCGACCCCAGCCTCCGTCTACGACAACATGGCCCACATACAGCAAGTCAAAGGTGATTGTTATAAATTGTAGTCTCGAGCGAAAAGAAAAGAGAAAAAAAAAAAAAAACCCCTAAATCATTTGTCTTGCGTTCATTAGAACTGGCCGCGGCGACGGCGGAGAACATCTACGGGGTGATGTCGAGCTTCCGGCCGTCCAACAGCGCCAAGCTGTACGCCTCGCCCGAGGACATGAAGAGCGTGGGTTACCGCTCGCTCAGTCTGCCGGGGCACTCTGGGCGGGTCCAGCTCCGCAAGTCGCACAGTCTTCGCACGCCCAACGGGGGCCCACCCGGCGTCACCTTCAAGTCGGGCCCACCCGGGCAACAGTTGGCCTCGTGCAACGGCGTCCAAGCCGGGGGCCAACAGCAAGCCACCGGGAACCAGCCCCTCGCCAACGGTAACCAGTACGCCCAGCCGCTCAAAAGCGGCAGGAGCCACAGCGTCGTCGGCATCATGAGGGACAGGAAGAAGAAGAAGGGCACCAGCGTGGCCAGCAGCTCCTCCGCCTCAAACTTGTCCAGCATAGCTGGCGGTGGGTTCTTCTTCCTCCGACTAAAACATAACGTTATTATACCCTCTGAAAATGATGAAAAACTAGCATCGTTCATTCGCACCCCATTCACATGAATCAGTAATCCAACCAACTACACTATTTCGAGTGCTAACGAGTTGACCACCTAATTGAAATATTCCCTAGTTCGAGTGGAATAGCGAAATATCCCCAGTGTATGCACTATTTAGAGAAATTTCGAGAGATTTTGATTTGATGGTTCGAGGATCGACGAAGGGGGTGTAAGTAATGGTTGTTTCGTTACAGCCGGTAACAACCCTAGTTGCGGTGGGTCGGCGCCGCCGATACCCGAGCCGGACTACAGCCTGAGCGAGTCGGAGAACGACGAGGAGCTGACGGACGAGGGGGAGGAGCTGGAGATCGCCCAGGAGCTGGAGAAGGCGGCGGCGCGCGAGAAGTTGGAGTCGACGCGGGAAACGTCGGGCAACTCGAACGCCTCGGCCGGTAGCAGCGGGAGCAGTTCGTCGTCGGGCTCGCTGCCCCACTCGTTCAGCGTCGAGGAGATCCAGAACGTCAGGAAGCAGCTCAAGGTACGGCGCGTATACGGTTGTACAGTTTTGCCAGACTCGAGACGACATGTATAATATGATACGTCCATATCCCTGGGGTTCAGACGCAGCAGTCGATGGTGGAGGACGGCGACAACAGTTCCAGCGGAGTGAGCTCCGACCAGGATGTGCCGGTTGGCCCGCCCTCGGGCTTCGACGACACGCAAGCTCGCAACAACGAGGCCAACCACCACCAGCACGTGCACCACCATCACCACCACCACCATCAAGGTGAGTAGTTATTTGGAAATTGACAACAAACGTGTAACGAAATGGTGAATTCTTAGCTCACGTGGACGGCCACGAGAAGAACACGACGGTGGTAGTGGTGGGCGGGGGTCTGAGCTGCGCCCAGAAGAGGGCGAGTTACGGGGGTAGTGGTGCGCTGACGAGGCACGCGGTGAGCCTGGCCCAGTTGCCCCCGCCGTTGGAGGCCGACGCCGAGGAGCAGAGCGGCGAGCTGTTTGTACCTCCTCCGCCGGAATTCAATGCTGACGGTACTCCGGTGGTCACCGCTGGCGACGAGCTCGTCTTCGCCCCGCCCCCCCAATTCTCCGACAACGGCAAACCGCAGATGCCGCATCAGCAGCAGCGGGTCAAGATCATCGGGGCCATTCCCAAGTCGGCTGGCAATCAGGTGAAAGCGGCGACCGGCAGACTGATCAACCAGTAAGGCCCCACCCTTCCATGGATGGATGTTGATTTGGTCCTTTGCGAGGCGATTGCTCTTACTTTTAGGGTACTTTTAATCTCGCGATCTTCAGCTGCGCCAATGATGGACACCTCAAACGCTGATTGTTAGGGTAATAATTTATATCCGAGATATTACGGATATGCAAAAGAAAGAGGCTAAGACTGTTAATCAAAATGAAATGATTATAATATCTGCACAAGTTTCGTACGTTTTGTACGCCATTGTTCTTTTCTTTTTCTTATTTTGTTTCTATTTTTTTTTTTTTGTTTTTTTTTTTTTTCACGTGGAAAATACATGATACGTATAGGAAAATGTAGATTATAAATAGTGTAAAGTACTTTCGTTGTAATGGTTGGTTGTTGAAACTAACGGTTTGGTTGAGTTGCATAAAGTATATATATATGTAACGTTTGAACTTATAAACAGTTATGTGCAGTCGGGCAGACTGTGCACACGTACACATTGATACATATTACACACATGCTCTTGCGTTGTTGTAAAACTGATTTGTACATAATTACGTTTGATAGTAACTTTATTTTTATTTCATTTTGATGGACAGTTGTGAATAAATGATAATGTCGGGGATGCGCCGATGTTGAGAATAACCGATGAAACAGAAAACCGTTCAATTACGTATAACATACGTGGTACATTGTTGATTTTAAGGCACACGCTATATGTATATGAATCAAGTGGAGGGGAAAAAACAAACAAACAAATGCCTGTTTAATCATACGAGCATTAAGTAGTCCTAGTCCTATGTGTATTGAGAAAAAACTTCGGTATCTGCATTTTATTGACTTGAAGGTGATGAATGATGTATTGTTCCAGACGCGTGACTCGGGGATTTTTTTACTACACTGTTTTATCACTATTTATAATTAAATATCGAAAATATCCGCGAGGTGGGAAACAATTGGCGTCGATATTTTCATCAAGTCAATAACACATGTCTGCGCGTCGCGTGAATGATATAAATAAACGCGCGCACCTTCTTCTCCCCAAATTAAAATCGTAGATTTTGAAATACAATTGTTCGCAAGAAGCATATCGTGCGTAGGTATTTTCACTTGTAAAACCCGTAGCGATTAAGTGCGAGCAAATCGAATTCCGTGATGGGAGGAAGAAAATTTTTTCATGCTCATGCTATGATTGAAGATTCGATTCTACAAGATCGATGTTTTCGATGGATTTATACAATTATTCGTAAATGTAAGTGTATAGTAAATACACGTCTGTTTTACGTTGGTGTTTAATAACAACAAAGTGTATAATCATTTTTATAAATATGTCAAACAGTTGCTATTTAACGTAACGAAAAGAAAACAAATTTTATCCAGTGTTTCCACCACAAAATCGTGTGAAAATTTTGGTCATATCGTTTGTAAACTCCAAAAAACAAAAATTATTAAAGATTTTTTACATTTTAAAAATCACGAAAAAACGTGTTTGTACATTTTTTTCTTATTAAATAAAAAAATTAAAAAAACAGTGTTTACTTAATTGCCGTCATGTTTAATTTACTATAAATTATAAGGATTTTCCATCGACTCGAAAAGTATTATATATTTTATTATAAATCGTCACGAATAAAATATACGACCAATAGTTTATATTTGTTATTGCAGTTAGAGCAAAAATTCAATGGAATATCAGTAGACAAAATTTTTTAACAACATGCGAAAGAACTTTATCAAAAAATTTGCTATTCGGTATTTTGATAAAATTGAGACTTATTGAATTTTCTATGCAATATTAGCTCTATAGAGCGCATTTTTAAGAACCAACCAATTTTCACACAAAGCTCAAACAAGAGATGCATTTAGACAAAAACACAGATACTGCATTGCAATAAACAACAACCAAAAAATAAATAAAAGAAACAAGTTTTTAATCGCATTTCGAGTGGCCTAAAAAGGCACACACTTTTTCGACTTGAATTTTAAATCACATTAACGTTGGACTACAAAAATTCCAAGCAGAGCACAATAATAGTATAGAAGTAATAAAAAAAAAAAAAAACTAAAAAGTTGTATTACGTATGCGTGAAAAAAAAATGATGTTTGTTTTTTTCATACGATTTCTACGACTGTGGGCGTATGTTTCATACTTTTTCAAAATAAATCGACAAAAATCAGTGAAGCAAAAGATAATCTTATCAAACAAAATAGTTGTGTGCTGTCGGCGTTGTATTATCTCTTGGACGCGTAACTTTCACATTGATAAAAAAAAAAGGATTAATAAATAATGGGAAATAAGTATTAAAAAAAAAAAAAAAAAAAAAAAAGTAGTTGAAACAACGAAACTAAAGATTTATACCTTGTAGTACATGTGAGCTGATTTCTTGCCCATCATGAGTATAGTAACGTAGTTGAAAGTAGAGAAAAACTTTTTAGATGATAATATCCATAAGAATCGAGAAAAATACAGTGTGTAATCAGCATTAACTTATTCCATTTTTCAATACACATGGATATACGCGTTTGTTGATGTTTTTAGCGTTGGACTGATTTGTTTAGTTATTGATAAAAAAAAAAAAAAAAAAGAAAAACAATAAGCGAATAAATAAAAAAATATGTGTAAGGGTACGAAGTAATTTAAATAAAAAAAAAATAATAATAATAATAAATAAAGCATGTACGCGATTCGGTTTCACCATGCGAGGGTCATCGTAAGATTGAAAATTATTATAATTAGTTTGTAGTTCATTATCGAGAGGTATAAATAAGTGTATAATTTGTATTATTTTTCCTTGCGCGTCATAAGACGATTAAAAAATGAAAATTAAAAAAAAAAAAAAAAAAAAAAAAAAAAAGAAGCGACATTTAAGCGCCTAAGCCAGAGTTAACTCACAAAGTCATTAGATTTCATTCTTTTAGTTTGTACAACGTGTTAAAGTAACATATTATACGTATAATAATAAGTGGACATGAGCGAAAGTTTGAGTGTCGTAATTGCTGAGTGACGCACGTAAGCGTTAGAATGTGGCATTACAGCGAGAATGCCATAGGTATACACATTATTTTCAGTTGGCTCTGTAAGATAGATCTATTTATTAAGATATAAATAGTAAGAAAAAAAAAAAAAAAACTCGTCCCACCCTATTCCTTTACCCTTTTAATTTTATTTTTCTCAAGTTAAGAAAAAAAAAAAAATCGAAGAAGTGATTTCTTCAATTGTCGCTGTACCTTTTTGCGTCTCTTCGTTTTTCATTTAACTGCGCAAAAAAATTGTTTCTCATTGTACATACATATTACATAGTAGGTATTGTAACACGGAGCGTAAAAATCTTCCTTTCCTCGAAGATTCTTTGTGCAATCGAATGTAAAGAGTAAGGAGTAAACGAGGAAAAAAAAAAAAAAAAAAAAAAAAACAAGCCGTCGAGTTGAGCACACATTACATACTCTACCCCTACAATGATGATGATGTGTAAGAAAAAAGAGAAAAAATCGGCTCGCCACGCAACGAGTACATTATATTATATTGTATATATACATATTGAATATTACAATACGTTAACAAAGATGGTATATCATATACATACGATTTTACGTTGATACAAGCAACAAATTATTATTAATGCAACTATTATCATATGATTATTATTAAATTAGCATAAATTATTATTGCCGATTTCTTTGTCACTATCATCGTCAGCAAACTCTAATTATTCACGAGTCCGATATCTACATGAATGGTAGCGTTTAGCGTTGATTAAACGGATTCTGAGCTGAACTTTTACTTTTGGGGCTATCGATCGATCGAAAAGCGAAAAAAGTCATAGTATTACATGTAAAACACAAAATGGCGTGTGTATTGAGGATAAACAAAAATAATTTGTACGTGCGATATTGTTTTTTTCGGAATTTGAATTCTTAAACTTTGCAGACACCGAATTTTTCCATTCGTTTGATCAACATTGTTTAACTCGTTCGGGTGTACGTTTTATTTTTATTCATAATTTTTATGAATTACGAAAATTTTTTCAAGGCATGATTCGGTGTCTGCAACAAAATACGTCTGCGGGTAGTCTTCGTTTGTTTATTCGTCCCTGCGAAGTTCGAAAATCCATTTCGAGCCTTGTCAATTTTTGCATGGCCTTTTGCGTTCCAATCGTCAGTACAATTTTACCAGCCAGTTTGTAACAAGAGAAAAAAAAAGAAAAAAAACAACAAACAGATCAATGTATGTATAGCGTGGCGCGCGTATATATGTATGTTGACAAAAGTATATTATTACATGTAACAAAAAGGAATATTATATAAATTATACGATGATACAAGGTAAAAAAGAAAAAAGGAAAAAAGTGAAATATAGTGAATTGATAATATTTTCGAGTGTCAGAATTTAACGAAAAAGCATGAAAAAAAACCTTCTAGTTTAAAGAGCCAAAAGAATTATTGATTTTCCAAGTTTTGGTGAATGACATTACATAAATGAGAGTAAAATCGGACACACGCGACCAACGAGGAAATAATATATAAATATTTCAATGCTGTTGCCAAGCCGTACGCGTTACGGGCGCCAAATCGAAGTAAAAAGGAAGGTAAGGGCTTCTCCCGTTATTTCTCGAAAAGCGATATTTTATCGTTAAACACACGACATTCCTGCCAAAACGTAGAGTAATGTAATGTAATATATATATATATATATATTTCCGAGTATCTCTAAATTTATCGAATGTAGCCGACGAGGCGAGTTTGAAAACGACGCGGAGGAAAAGGGCGAGAGAGTGAACGTATTTATGGATTTGCGGAGAGATGAACGATAGAAGTAGGATATGTTATTAACGACCGCGCTATTACAAGTATGATATAATACATCCCAGCTCTAGCCCCATATTTTCATGTTCTACCGACGACGGTTCCATCATTTACACACAATTGTACAATTGACACACGATGTACTCGATAGCTCATCTGTATATCCTCGATATTTCGAAAAAAAAAGTCTTTAAAATTAATAATCTCTGTTTACATATTTTTTTGTTTCCATTTCAAAACGATCCAATACATAATCCTCTCATAAAATTTTTATTTTCTTCGTCACTTTGTCCAAACAATAATGAATTCATAAATAATGCTGATATTAATTTGTACATAATTAATATACCTTCCGTTAATTAATTAACCGTTTACTTTTTGTTCTAATTTTTATTTCATTTTTCAGAAATAAACAATTTTTGCTCCCCCTTCAAAAACCACGTGACCATTACGCAATTATACCGTGACGTCGTGACATCTCATGACTCGTCTCATGACTGCACGTGTGATCCTATATTTTGGTGGGTGGCTAGGGTCTGGGGTATATTTTTTTGATAGTAAAGAGTGAACGGAGCATTATTTATTTTCATTTTTTACTTGCAAAGAGAGTGTAAGTAAAAACAACAGACATTATGCAGTCTTTGCGGATATTGGTGAGAAGAAATGCGCATCAGCTTCGACGATTGCACAAGTGGTAAATCATCGATTGTTATTTGTTGAAATAAAGCAACGCAGTGAACAGAGAGGTTATGTAACCGTACTCATTTGACTGATTCTCGTCCACTGGTTTTTTTTTATTAAAAAAATATTTAATCGAGACTTATTATTTAATAAATAGTTTTTGTCACGTAAGTCTTCTCTTTAAGTTTGCATTTTTTATTTACCAGTGTATCACAGTGTCAAGCCGAAGCAGCAGTAGCATCTAGTCCAGTGACAGAAAAGTTAACAATTCCAGTTCCCGAGGGTGTTGACAAGCCTGTCTCACCAAAGATTGATAAAATTGCACAAGATATCACAGCTCTGAATCTTCTTGAAGTGTCGGAACTCAGTGATCTGTTGAAAAAAAGGTTAAACCTTCCTGATGCTCCTATCATGCCCATGGGAGGATTCAGCATGTCACCTCCAAAAGAAGTAAGTGACTATAATAGATGAAAATTTCCTGTATTTGTTTATTTATCTAGATACTTACTACAACACATCATAAATAATAAGTAGAGTATTATCTGTTACATTAGTAATAACAATATTCTGTTTTTAGGATGATGAAGATAAACCAAAGGAAGCAATAAAGACTTCATTCACTGTCAAACTGATGAAGTTTGATGATAAGCAAAAAGTAGCAATAATCAAAGAGATAAAAAATCTAATACCAGGCACAAATTTAGTACAAGCCAAAAAGTTTGTGGAATCTGCACCTCAAGTTGTCAAAGCTGACATTAGCAAAGATGAGGCAGACCAGCTCAAGCAGACATTGAACAAAGTTGGCGGCGAAGTTGTTATCGAATAATCATTTTGTGAATTTAGTGGTTTAATTTTTACTTTAGATTAAAGACAAACTTTATATGTTGAGTACCATTTACAGTACCTGCATTTAGAGAACAAGATGCAAAAAAAGACTATGCAACATTTTCTATCTACACTCATTGTTACACATAAAACGTTTGTTACAATAAACAATCTTGCTTTTTAAAAATAAATGTATATACTTGTACTTCCCTCTTCGTACGTTACCTCTTTTGACCGTCGTAGGGGACAGTCACAACTGACGTCGAGAGAGCACACGCACATTGACAAATAATACCTACAGCTTACAGCAGAGGATGAGTCGCAGTGTCGCACAAGCCAGAGACGACGACAACATACCTATAAGTTTCTTTGAGTTTACGTGGAGGTAATAATAATAATACAGTCGTGCTGTGATTGCCTGCCACGATGGCCGATGAGGCTACAGCTGGTGCTGGTTCGCCGACGAGCGCTATGGCAAAAACTATGAAGTCCCAGCAAACCGTAGTCCCGAATAACGTACCCGAGGTTTGTACTCTTTAAATTTTATGTCTATAGTAAGTATTACCAGATAGTGCAGTGTAGGCGTTAACGAAGCTAGCCCGATGTCATCGCGATGACTCGAGAGATGAAAGGTGTCAATAACTTGTTTTGACAGATCGGCGCCGGGACTTTGATGCTTCTCTCCAAACGATAAATGACTTTAATTATACTAATGAAGAGCAGATGCTTTCGAGCTTGCAAGAATATTGTTTTTAAGATTAATATGAACCCCATTGAAAAATTTGATAACTATATAAAGTTAAAATTTTCTGGATCAGCTATTATGCCCCGTTACCTTTTAACACATTTGTAAATTAAATCTAGGTTCTAGAAATGTATTTTGACGTTAGATTAAAATTTTTTTTACATTTCCTTAAGTATACTTTATCTTTGGTTAATAAGCTCCTTTTTTTTTACGTAAACATAACTTGGGTGTTATAATTAAAAGCTTACTTTACACAACATCACTATACATATAAAATATTGTATAAAATTATACACAACTATTTTCTTCCAATTTTGTTAAACAGAGCCCAGTAGAAAGTGAATTGAGTATACTTAAGATGCAAGCATATCAAACCCTAGAAAGGCTGGAGGAGTCTGGTGAGAAAGGAACAGAATCCGAAGGAGCAACGTGGAACAATCCTTTAGGTTTCTTGTTACATGCCAAAGCACCAGAAGAGATTTTCACTCTCATACAAGTAAGACAATGCATTACAATTTAAGGAATATATTCCATACTTGTCAAAGTCGACATGTATTCATTCAATTTGGTAATTTATTTGGATAATTATGATTGCATACCATATAATCTAATACAATTATAGTATCAATAAAATGTAAATACTGTAAGTAAAATAGATTTTACAACATTTTATCACAAACGACATACGATTTTGTGTCTTTCACATACAACAGGAAATTATGAAGATAAGATTACACTACCACAATGGTACATTATGCGACGATTGTGGTGATTCTCACAGTAGCCTATGAGTGACACCAAATACATTTGATTGAAAACAAAAAGTAAGATTTAAGCTTAACACTGTAAATTTTTCAGGACCTGGTAGTCTACGAGGAAGCACCAGCCCAGGTTAAAGATGGCAAGTCACCAACCGAGCAAAATCAAATAACAAGTTTGCCACCACTGACAGATGCAGCCAAGCTCGCTCTGATATCGCATTCGGTGTCGGCCTATGCCATGTCATTGCCGAGATCGCACTCTCGCAAACTGGCCTCTCGCCTGACCGTGGATACCACGAGATGGCTGAGTCACATCTTTCGATTCGTCGACTGTGCCTCGGCCTTTCACGAGGATCCACTCGAGGGTCTCGTGAGGGTGACAAGGCTTGCCCTCCATAAAAAGTACCCGAGGTACATGGACGAGGGATACGCTGCACTGGCCAACTCGCCGCCATTGATTTACAGTAGCGTCGCGCCTCTTGGCTTGGTTCAACATTTGTGCAAACAGGTGCCTTTGAAATCTTTTCATCAAAATCCACGTTTTTCCCACTGACTTTTAATCGACAATGCATTTCTTTATTATAGCTTCTGTTACCATTGCACTGTATCAGACCGATTCCCCAAAACACTTTGTTCGGTTCGCGTCATACAATGGACATTGCAGCCCTGGAAAGACGCCTGACCGAGGATTCTCAGTCAAATTCCGTGACTCCCTTGTTGGTACTGGCTGAAGCCGGATCTGAGCTCACGGGACATTGCGACAATATTACTAGGCTACAGGAAATATGTGATAAATATAATGTCTGGCTGCATCTTCGCGGCAATTCCTTAGCAGCTTTAGCTTTAAGTAACTCGTCCAAGGATTTGGTGAGTAATGATAAAAGGATACCGCTAAACTTGAATGATTATTCAAAGTAGATTTTAACGTGACTGTCTGGCTGATTTGCCTTAATTATTACTTCCAGACTTCAAAACTTGCCGACAGTATTACATTGTCCCTTGGTGTTTGGCTGGGCATACCTTCGCTACCAGTGGTCGTATCCTTTATACACAAAAAAAATGCAAACTCCTTTGTTGCTTCCAAAGAATTAATTTGTAAACTTTTGCCAAGTCAGCTTAATAATATTCTGCCGTAGAAAAAAGTCGTTGGTGTACTTTTTATCGCATTACGCGCACGCGTGCATTAATCAAAGGAATCTCGTGTATTGCGTCTTTTACGAAAATAGTACAAGGAAAGACTGGCGTTCACGCGTCATTTTATGCAAACTCGGCCATCCCGTTGAATTTAAATGACTCGGAGCGCACTCCCGTAAGATGATCACGCTCGGTATTTGCGTCTGCATTGGCTATTTATAATCCTTGACTTGGTCGCAAATAGACGTTGTACAGATTGACCGATACACGAGGTGGACACTCGACTGCCAGTCTGATTGCAGAAACGCTCTCAGGGCGTCTGCCTACTTTGCCGCTTTGGACGGCGTTACAGGCCTTGGGCAGGGACAGCATTGTCAACCGGTTCAAGCACTGCTTCTTGGTTGTCGAAGAGCTCTACAATAAGCTCAAAAAATTCAACTGTATCAGATTGCTCGTGAGTATATAAATGAGTACTTTGACCAATTTTAATGTTAAACTTTTGACTGATGATTAATTCGGTACTTGAAATTTCGTAGAGCCAGGAACCAGGAGGCGATGGCGGTGTTTACTCGTTAAAAGAAATCCTAACAAACAACACGCTTGGCACAGCTCAGCTACTCGAGGTTGTGTCCAGTGCTTTGGTTTTCCAGTTTGTGCCATCCAAGGACGAAGATCAATCGCAACAACAGCAGCAGGAACAACAACGCGTACCCGCTTATTACGACAAGCTAAACTCATGGCTCGGCCAGATCCTCCAACGCGACATACAGAACGTCGAAATTGAGTTTTGTAAAATCGAACAGTATGGTGTCGCTATCAGGATCTGTCCACTCGAGAGTCCTGAGTATCCACCTTGCAGCGACGACATCGATAGCGTCGTTGCCTGTCTCGAGCAACAAATTGTGAGTCTTTTTTTTATTTATTTAACATTTGATATTTGTTTCCTGCAATTCATTTATTTTATAATTTTATTTGTTCAGGATATACTGTTGGCGACAGTACATCACAAGGAGACGTTCACAAAACTGGTGTCGGAAAATGAATCGTTACGTTTGGTGGAGATCCCAGAATGGGCAGGGCTGGGTGGCGTGAGATACTCTCCTCCGTGGACGTGGGATTTAGCTAAAAACGAGTTGAACAATCTGAACGGACAACTGGTCGAAACTCTGAGGCATACGGACATTGCGTTCTCTCTAGGCACAGACGACGAGGGACTGGCTTTTGTGCGATTCGGAATGGTTACTCATGAGACGGGTACGTTTGGAGAATGATAAACAAAGTTTTTTGCAACTCCATGGATAAATCATTAATGGGGCTTTGTTTCAGATGTGGAAGATTTGTTGTCGCTCGTTTTAAAAGTTGGCCAGGATTTGGAAGCCAGTTCCAAGTTGATGGACACAATGTCTGAAGTTGTCAAACGTGGCATAGAAGCCGCGCAGACAGACTTGGAGCGCGAAAACGCTGAAAACGCTGAAAAACTATTGCAAGAGGGAATGGTAAAAATACTTCGACACGTGCCCGTTGTAGGAACTTTCGTTAATTGGTGGAATCCACCGCCAAAAGAAAGTGGAGTCAGGGGCAGAAGCCTAAATCTCCAAGCAGGTGAGCTTGGTTGATATTGAATTTTAGTAAAAATTTTCTTACACGTGAACTTGCAATTGGTTCAAAGGCCGTAATACGCAAAACGCAGCTTTAATAGTATATTTTAAGAAAAAAAATTACAATTTTACTCTTTCTGAAATTTTTTCTTCGTGCTTTTACTTTTTTTATAATTTTTATTGTTGTCAGGATTAACGGTTATTGAGACAAAATGGGAATTATCAGAAAAACAAGATAAAGACCCTGGAATTCTGTGTTCTGGAGTTGGGAATTCTCAAATTAAGGATCTTGAAATTAAAGAGCATGAAATAAATGTTGGCAATTAGCAAAACGCTTATAGTTTTGTAAATCAGTTCTGGATGCAGTTTTTCGAGAAGTATTTTTTTTTTTTTTTCAATTCAATTTCTTCACACTCATATCATATGCTCATTTCGTAAAAATTATCGTAAAATTCAAATTCAAAGCTTTCTTTCACATTTGGGTAATCATAAAACACATTTATTTGGTGTAAATGTAGCTTAAAAGACCCAAACAATATTAATCCCAGAATGACGATCAAAATTATCAACCAAAAGTACTAGTATAAACGTAAACGATTCAATTGTTCCAGGAGTTGTCGAGAGTACAGAAAACATTTACAAATATCACATGCAACTTCAGCCCAACTCGACGACGAGCAATGGCTCGGGAGGGGCTCGAACGCCGCCTCAGCCTATGATCCAAACACCTGTGAGTCAAAGCCACAGCCGATCCTCCAGCCATTCCAGTCAACAGAGCGGCAAGACGTCGTTACAAAACATCATTACGACAGTCACTGTACCGTCTCCACCGGTAAACAAGGATAAAACGATAGAGTAACGTTTATATTTTTTGTAAAAGGATGTAATTGTTGAAAAATATTTGTATGAGAAAAAAATTGCATGCTAGGTAATATTTTTCATTGAGCTCCAGAAAGTGGAATAACTGCGAGAGAGAAAGAGAGAGGGAGAGATTGTTGTTCATCTGTTTTTTTTATCCAATGAGAATATTTAGTTCCTTTAGTTTATTTTTATTTTTTTCATTAAAATTGATAAATTTTATTAATAATGTAGCGTAATGCATTAAGCATTTATCGTTTAGGGTGTTTTTGACTTGTATTACATTTATTGTCCCTGGAAAAATGAATCGAACTATATGAATAAGTTCAGGTTTATTCTAGAAAAAAGATTAAAAATCGTGTATGTATACGCATTTTTATTGATGCATTTTTTTAAAATTTTTTGACTTACAAACACATTTGTTACTTGGATCCTTGAGAGTATTTGTTTTAAACAAGGTTAGTGTACTTATTCACTATAACATGTAAATATTGATCAATATTTTGTGTATTTTTTATCTTTACCTTTTTTCATGAACTGTGAATCATTTTTTTGCACAAATTTAGTTATCTCATAAAAAGCAATATAGTGACCTAACTGTATTTTTTCTTCTGTTTACGCTTGTATTTTTTTTATACAACTACAACACGTAATAAACAGTTTTATGTCAACGAAAGGTTTTACCAAAGAACTACAAAATCGATTTTTTGGACTCAAAATCAAATGACACCAATAATTGCAATTTAAAGAAGAATAATAAATAAATTTTAGTCCTGTCAAAAGCTCTGTAAATAAATAAAAGCGAAGGAGCAAAAGTTCTTCGAGATTCCAATTTAAATTCATAATAGCAATGTTTTTTTAAATTTACCTTGCAATCCAAAACCAGTATAGTTCAATACGAATTATATCAATAAAACCTTAATAAAAAAAAACTCAAATGAAAATAGATTGTTAATTTTAAACCAATAGGAAATAAAAACTTTTATGTATATTTATACACACCAAAACTCTTTTAATAAATTATTATTGCCACATTCATAATAAAAATTACAAATATGATTGCATATGACAACATGGTATACAATCATTTCAAACCCGTAGCTCTGGGCTCATTTCACTTTATATTGCTGCTCACATTTTTATTGCAACAATTACTTGGTTGCAAAAGTATTATTGCGTTGGCGAAAGACTCGCTAAAAAAGTAAAAGGAGGGGGGGGGACACAGACCACAGAGAGAGAGAGCTGGTGCAGCAACAAGTGCGAAAAACAAAAACATAAAAATATATTATGTACTTAATGATCGGACATCGGGGGTGCAAATGAGAGTCCCAAACGGAGAGCAGCGGATTTCCTCTTTCCAAAATGAAATTGGCAAAAATAAAAGGTCATGAAAATATCAGCACCCAACTTTTATTAAATAAATTAACAACTTTTGCATACGCAAATACCAATTGGAGCCAAGTATAGGTATTGGAGGAAGTGAGACGAAAGGAAAGGAGTGAGAGAGTAAGTAATAAGTGAACAGAAAGGAGATGGCAAGTGTAATTTTGTGTGGGATTGGGATTTGTGCGCAGTGCATGCACACACGACTGACACGACGGCGTCGACGGACTCGACGGCACGATTCACTAGACTCAGTTTCTCGTCACCAGCCAGCCATTAGTGCAATTTGGACGCACATAAATTATCTTGGAGCCCACAACTACGGAGGTACGGAGTCCACACTTGTAGGTATAATACACACCTTCCCACACATCGGAATCAGCGGGGGCTGGCAAGGGGGGGCTTGTTCAATTGTAATTATGTTCATTATCATTGCCCCAAACGCGAGCAAGGGAACGAAAAGCGATCGTGTGCAACAGCTATTGGTATCAGTGCAGAAATGATGAGTGGGATTTAATCGTCATTTAATCGTCGCACATATACATGCGATGTAGCCTAACCTAATACAGTGTGTCGTTGCAAGCAAAAGTTGAGGAAAAGCAACAGTTGCACTCAAGTTAGAGCAACGACAACATCATTATTAATTACTTGATCGATGAAGCACCTGATATTGGGTTGCCATCTCCCCGATATCGTTAGCAGCAATACCATCAAGATGCTCAAAACGAACCAGGAGATCGTTCACGAGGGATGGCTCATCAAGTCACCACCCGAATCCCTATGGAAAGCGGTAATAAGATTAAATTCATTATTACCTGATTATATATATTTTTATTTTTATTTTTTCCCTTACCTATTTTTGCATGCTAGTGTTTTTGTTTAGTCTTATATGTTATAATGCACCACTTTTGTTTAAATGCTTTGTAATCCACTCACTCCTAGTAGTCCAATCACTGGATCTTTCTATACTATACAGTACGTAAACAATAGATTTTCTCCTGTTTGGAATCTGTTTTTTTTTTTTTTTAGAAATAAGTAGGACTTATTTCACCGTTACAGAACATTAAAGCATATTTTAATAGGTACAAACAAATGTCTTCCATGAGGATTTTTCGATCGAATAATTTTTTTCCGATCGTCGCACCAAAACAATAAAACGATTCTCTGTTCTTGCTTGCGTCACGTCATGGAAAGTAAATAAAGCGTTTTGCTCGATCATTGCGTCTTTGGTATTTTCACTAATTTTTAATCCACACCCAGTAGTCAGACTTGTTTTTTTTTTTTATTTTTTTTATTTTTTATCTGTATTAAAGCAGTAATATATTACTTGAAGTTGTAACTAATTACGACGATTAGGAAAAAATGCAGCTGTAATTATTATTTCCATCCGATGACTTTGTGTTTTTTGTATATACCTTGAGCATTTAAAGCCTGAAGAATGTTGCCTAATGAGTCTTAGAAGTCGAAATTATTATCTAAATGACATGTTAGAAATGCTTCTTTATCTGATAAAATATTTTGGATAATTAAAGGCGATCGAGAAAATAAACGAAATAATTTGTACTTCATTGAAAATCATTTTTATTTCATATTTTTAGTTTTTCGAAACATTTTCGTTTCATTAAATGTACGAATGACCCCTATAAATAGAAATAACTACATTAAAATTTCTATGTTTATTTTAGATTGTTAGAATTGAGTTTCAAAAGTGATATAGTTGGCTAGTAGTTAGTAGTTACCTTTATCATCTTTATCATGTAGAGATTTTTCTCAAATTTCTTAAAGAAACATCCATTATCAATTCTTTTAATATCATTTTATTTTTAAAAGCAATGAGATGTGTGGAATGTGAATATCAATTAAAATTAAAAATGTTCAAAACTGAGATTTAAAAACTGCTAATATTGTGATAGCGATGGATGAAAAGGTGGTTTACTCTTCGTCAAAGTGGAGAACTGCCTGGACAATACATCTTGGAGTATTATGAAGGAAATAGCAAAAAGAAATTAAAGGGCCAAATCGATCTAGACCAGTGTACAGAGGTAGGCAAGATTTATATTTGCGTATACACATAAGTCTACCAGAAATAGTTGAAAAAATTTATCAATAAATGAATAATTTTTTTCCAAAGGTTGATTCGGGGTTGCAGCACCAACACAAAAAGCGTATATATGCGCACGTGTTTAAATTAAAGACCCCCAAAAGGACCTACTATCTTGCAGCCGACAATGAGGCTGATATGAATAAATGGGTGCATATAGTTTGCCAAGTTTGTGGCATGAAGGAAAGCGACGGGGAGCAACGGTCACGAGGTACACTGTAACCAAAAAATATAAACTATCAAACACGAAGTTAGTAAAATTCAGTAATTCAACAATTGTTTTTAATTTCATCAGTGATCACGTTCGACCCGCAAGAATCGCCTCCCATCTCGCCCGCAAGCTCTTACACCAGCCCTTACATTCACATCAGCGATTGTGTTTCTGGCCGCAGTCTAAACTTCAACAGACTAAACCCTGTAAACTCATCTCAGTTTCAAGGATACTATTCCGCGCCGAGACGATACGCCCAGTCGCCACCCCGATCACCGACTACGACCGACGCGGACAGTGCAACAGACGATGATTCGATCGTGCACACGCCAAGCGTTAACTCTGCCATTTTTCTGTCATCAAGCAAGAATTCATTGAACAGTGCACACGAAGCAGACATCCAACCCCGGACGATACAGACTAAACGTCTCGCCAAGCTCGATATTAACGACAGCTCTGTGGTGCAGCCGCTTTCGGAGGTGAATATGGCCCCACCGAGACCGCCCAAGCCGACGCACATGAAGCTCGAAAATCACAATTACTTGAATTTGGATGGGGTAACGGAGAGCACAAAACCAACCACTCCGGTGACTCCCGTGACGCCGGTGCCCCAAACGCCCTTTTCGGTTGGCATAACGGACGAGACGTACGATTTTCCAAGGTCGCACCAGCCAGGAGTAGTCGATGCGACTAATTCCATGAGCTACAGAAGTCGACATTGTTATTCAAACGCTGCGCCAGTTAGCGCGGGCGCTATTGGCAAAGACGAACGTGTCTTTCGTTTTGACTCATTGCCGTCGAGTCCAAGAGTTCCCTATTCTAATTTGTCGAGCCCGCGGGTGAGATCTGATACCTCGACGATGGCCTCAGTTTCCGGGTCACAGTCGCATTTAGCTTCGGCTGTTCCGGTCGTTTGCAGAAAGATGAAACCAGGTAGGAGGACCAGTGACACCCTGTCCATGACCAGCAACGAATTTTCTCCCGGTCCTATGAGCATAGGGCTGACGAACTCTGGCTCCTCGGCGGAACCATCGCCAACGGGGCCACCTAGCGTCAATCGTAATTTAAAACCATCACCACAGAGCAGGCAAAATTATGAAATGACTGGTAAGTTGACGTTTGCTTATTTTTCCTTTTTGGTACGTTTATTGAACAAAATCATTTATGTTCTCATTAAAGGAGAATCTATGGAATGTAAGAGGCTTTACCAGAGTTTTTCTATCCCACAAGTAATCCAAATATTTCTTTCAGTGCCACTTAAATTGGATTTGCCACCAGTACGCGGAAAAGCTAGGGCGGCGCCTAGCCCAACTCCCCCAGGGGAAAGCAAAAGCAGATACGCAACATCATGCGACAACGTAAAAATTTTTTCTTATTTTGAGTTTATCATTTTTTTGGGGGTACGAAAATTTAATTAAATCAAGTTGTTTTTTACTAATTTTCAGATAACTTATTTCCAGGATCATCAACTTTACATTCCCCCTCATTATCCACAGGAAATCGCCAAAAAAGAAATAACTATGCAATATCTCGATCTTGATTTAAAAGTAACCGGTAGTACATCTGCTCCACCAATCCAACCGCCAAGCTCCACGGATTATAAGAGCGTCGATTTTGACAAAACTTATGCCTTTAATCGCACAAGAAAGCAAGTTGAGGAGAAAAGAAAACAATGTACAAAAGACTTTACTATTTTTAGTAACAAGTGATATGCAACAAAAAGTTTACTGTATTTTTTTAATGGTCTAAAGTTTTCATGTTACATACAAGTTATGAAATATTTGTGGAACTCAAAAAATTCAAGCAATATTGAAATAGATAAATTGTTTTAATGTATACTGAACAATTGGATCATATGAAAAATAAAAAAATTTATTTTTCTTGCTATCCCGATAATCGTATGAACGCACAGTAGTGGTCAATGATGGTAATGATCAAGATTAATCTCGAAGAAATGTTGGAATTTTTTTGCATGTATATATAATGTTAACAGGTATTCACAGAGCGGCAGTATGTCAGTTTTATTGAACTGAAAATAGTATTAGAGAAAAGTGAGAGTTTTTAATTTTGTAACGCGTGACACGATTACTCGGTACGTCAAAATAACGGAAGTTGTAAATATCGTTTTATAGAGTTATTATGCGATATATTTTTCAAAACCATTCAATAGAGGATGAACTCTGTCGAAAAATTTCAAGTAGCAATATTTGAACGGACCAAAAATGTTACGTAATTTTACTTGTAACGTAGGCGATTTTCGTCAAGTAATAGTTGTAGTTTTACAAATTGACTAATAGTAGGTGTTACTTGATTATAGCAGTACAAATTGTAAATGATGAAATGAAGTGCATAAAAAAAGACAACAAAGTTTTGATTTTTTGAAAACTTATACTAATCGAGTATGTTCTTTTACGAAAATGTTATAATATTGTTGCGCCATAAAATTTAGCATGTGATAAATCTTTTTTGTTCATAGAGTGCTAAAAAACTATAGTATTTAGCTATTATTAAAAATAATAATGTTCATCTACAAACGAACTTGATAAATTTATTAATTCAGTACTTTTTACTGATTTTTACGATTCTTATAAATTGTTTGAATAAATAAAAAATTGTTCATTGTCTAAGTTTGGACTAATATTTTACCATATAATAAAATTTATAAATGCAAAAAAAATTGTCATCGTTTTTCAATTTCCTCATAACCATCCCATTGTTCATACGATACTCTCAATACAGTTACTTGTTTATGGTCATAACAAACCGATAAATCAATTACAAGAGCAATTTAATACATGTAGGGTACACTCACTTCACGATTGTGTTACGATCAAAATGTTTGTAATATTCTACAAATGTTACTAAAAAATTACAGATTTAACAATAGTGGCTGAAAAAGGAATCGCGAAAACGAAATGAAAGGATTTGTACAATTAATAAAGTTATTCTTCACCTGAAATTTTCTCAATGAAGTACAGCAATTGTAAGTAAAAAATATTCCTTTTTTTCATTTATTTTAGGGTTACACAAGTACTACTATTAACTTTTGATTGGTTTGTCGCGCCAACTCAATATCTTTATTGAACGTAATTTTAAATTATCTCCGTGAAAAAGGTTTTACTCTTACCGTATACCTTCTCCATATTATGTAATTTTTTTTTTTTTTTTTTGAAACTTTCCCTTGCCTCCCAATAAAATCGGCACAAATGAGCCCTAATGCCGATGACTCACTTCTGTCAAAGGTGTTAATTGTAGGTTTACAGGAACGAACTGTTTTAATTTAAACTTGAAAATTAAGTAAATTTGAAATTTAAGTTTGAATGTAAAAAATACACCAACACGTGTGTTGTTCCTAGTTTCACGGCAATAACAGCCTGTGAATGTCAGGCGAAACGTATAGTAGATGCACTTGTCAATCATTTTTTATCGTCAGAGCCTCGATTTCCGATTGTAGTAAAAAAAAAAAATTTCAAAGAGGGTGACTCAAACCGAATAAAACGTGATTACATTTTCTCCTATAGCTTGGAGAAAGAAAGATCGAACCGTTTGACAATATCCCGGAAAACCCTGGCGGCTTCAAAAAACATGTTTTGTTTCTGTTCAAAAGTGAACGTAAGTACCTACGTCAGACGATGAAATTAAAAACGTTTTAGGGGCTTTTCTCGCAATCAGAGTAAGAAAATTATTTAAATTTTTTTTTTTTTTCAAAATAAGTAACTTCTTTTGCTTGATAAAACTTTAACGGGCCTTATTCCTCAAAAATTAAATTAATCATCTATCTCTTAAAACACAGGTGATAACAAATGTTTAGCAAGTTATAAAAAGCATATTCAAATTTCGGAATAGACTAAGTCAACGTCTTTTTTTTTTTCATCTTCTAAGTGAAAAATAGTTTTATCAGACGATTCTTCGAAAAAAAAAAAAAATTAACAACTTCGTCATACATTATCGTTACTGACGTTTTAATGCAAGTTTGATAAAAAGTTACATTTGTTTTAATAATTATATGATTTCTACTTGGTAAAATTTTTTAAATTTTTATTGTTAAAATGGCTGTTTACCTTTCACGAGTCGAGTAATTTTATTTTATTTTTGCCATTGTGACAAAAAAACTTGCACGAATTTTATCAAGTCAGGAATTTAAACAAACTCTATATACGCAAGTGTCCACTTATTCATCTGTTTTTTTCCGATTGTTCCGATGACGAGCGAGAGCGAAGGAGCATCAGAAAAACATGTGGACGTGTTGATTGGGACGATTTATAAAGAAGGAAATAAAGGAAGCCGATGATGTGTTGGCTCTAATTATTGTAATTTGAGCTCGAGTACCGAGTAAATTTCAAACGTGACGTCACGTACGACTGATTTTTCGTACAATCGTTGATGCTCATTCACTGTAAATTACATGGAATCTCCATGGATTAGGCAATAAAGGAAAATGCCTTATGTAGCATAGATTTTTCATGTATGTAGATCTGACTTTAAATTCAATAAAAATCGTTAGATCTGTAATTTACGTTCATAATATTTTATATTAACGTTTTTTTTTTTTTTTTTCATCAAAATTTTAAAGCCTTAAAAATTTTAGGAAACACTAAAAAACTTTATGCACAAGTAGCAAAAAAATTTCACGCTGAGAGAATAAAAAAAATGTTACGCATGCTTTTCTAGCGTAAAAAAGCAGTTAGTCAAAATTTCATAATCGCATATCTCACTTTAATTTATGCGCACGTAAAACATAGAATTATTAGGAAAAGTAAACACAGACAGAGACGTCAGTCATACAGGCATCGTATAAATTAATTATTCTTGAAAACTACTCAATTATGCGATGGTACTATTCACCGGTGTAGAAAGATACAGAGCCTCTTAATCAGTTAAATTTCTTCGCGAGAAGCATATTAGTTAGCTTCTGCATAAGCGCGAGCAAGCTTTTATAAAAAAAAAAAAACAAAAAAAAAACCTTTTGAGTAAAGCTAAATCGATTCCGATTGGTTGGCTCGATGAGAATAGCAAGGTGCCATTGGTAGGCACTAACAGACTTGCGGATGTACCATTGGTTATTGGCAAGGCGTGCTAAACGTGCTAAGGTTGTTTGTCTAGTTTTGCATTAAAAAGAAGATTCTCCCGCAAGTGGAGTTTGCCCCCGCGATAGACGAAGAAGAGAGCAATTGATTCCTCAACGGTAATTCATGAAGCGCGTATTGCTCGCTAGCTTGCGCAGGAGAGAAGATTCAGCGGGAAATTAATCCTTACGTATAGTTGAGATCGAGACGGACGACCGCGAGTTGGTCTGGGAAAAGAAGCGGACGGGTCCGAAGGATATTTACTTTTTTTTTCCTTTTTGGTGAAGACTTTTCGAGCTTGACAAAGGAAAAAATGGTTCAGGTGGTGACGAAGACCACCGGCTTGAGGAAATACTTTCCTCAACTGCTTGCTGGCTTTGGGGGTGAGTTTCTCCAATTAAACTCTGTTTTTTCTTTTCTCTTTTATTTATTTATTTATTTATTTTTTTCAATTATACTGTAATATCTCGTATGTAGATTTGCTCTTCTTGTATCTTGCGTGTCATTCATTTTCTTGATAACTGCATTCACTTTATTTCATTTTGTACGAATATATATTATTTTAATTGGTAAAAATGACGTTTTGAACCATTAATTGATAAATTAATTGTAAAAGTTGATGATCAGTAATATCATCGAAATGAAAATGTGAATTAAAATATTGTCGTGTAATGTGAAAACGGTAAAACGAGGGAAAAACTTGACTATAAAAAAAAACGTATTCATTAAACAATCAAAAGTTGTAGAAAAAAAAAAGAAAATAGCTTCTCTCGAAGCAGCGATGAAATGGAAATTCCCAAACGCATACGTTACGGCACAACCGAGTGCAACTGTAATACCCGTCAAATTTATCTCTAAAGCCGGACTCAATAAAAACCACTAGAGCTGAAAATACACACGAGCTTCAACGAGCTTTATTTACGACGGTGCCACTCCAAGTGAGTTTAAAAAAACACATTGTTCGGTAATAGTCGATTTTATTTTTTATTCCGCTCAATATTCATTGTTGTCTTATGCAATGTACGCAACTAGTTCCAATCGATTGAAAATTAAAAAAAAAAAAAAAAAATCCACGTCCTCGTCCATCATCATCAGCCAACTCGATCGGGCAATATAAGCGACGTTGTGTATTCACCCGTTGAAAACTTTCCTATACCACAGTGACCATGATAATGGTGCAGCTAGGGTTCTCTTCGGGCTGGTCGTCGCCGTACCTGGCCAAACTCACGGCCTCGGACTCCCCGCTGCACCTCTCCCTCGCCCAAGCCTCCTGGGTCGCGTCGTTGCTGAATCTGGGACGGTTGTTGGGTGCCTTTTTGGGGGCCATTTTGGTCCATTACTGCGGCAGCAAGCGCACGTTGCTCCTCACCTTGCTCCCCATAAGCATTTGCTGGGCCCTGACCATACTGGCCCAAAGCGCCGAGTGGCTGTACGCGGCGCGCTTCTCCGGCGGCACGGGCCTCGGCATGACCTACAGCTCGTTTCCCTTGTACCTGGGCGAAGTGGCGCTACCCAAAATACGAGGCTCCCTCGTCTCCCTGGCTGCTTGTGGCGGTACTTTTGGAATAATGCTCGGCAACCTCGCCGGCTGCTACCTCGACCACCAAGTCTCTGCTGCCATCTACCTCGTGCCCTGCTTTCTCCTCATGGTCCTCTTTGCCTGGCTGCCCGAGTCGCCCCATCACCTAGTCAAAGGTATCTATCATAACTCACTACGTCCTTTTTTTTTTTTTTTTTTTTTTTTTTTTAATCTAATGCGGCTTGTTTTTTTGGCATTTCAAAACGAAATTTCGTTTTTCATGTATGTCAATTGTGAAAAATCAGTAAACGAGCTGGACAAAGCGAGGAGCTCGATCGAGTGGTACCGTGCCGGCGACAGAACCTCGGAGGAGCTGGAAGAGGTGGTGAAGTTCGTCTCGAGCGCGAGCTCCGAGTCTTTGGTGGACAAACTGGCCCAGTTTCGCCAGCCGGTCATCATGCGCGCCACGATCCTCGTGATCGTGCTGTGGACCTTCATGCAGATATGCGGCTTCAACAGCGTCCTGTTTTACATGGAAATCATCCTTATCCAAGCCAAGTCCCACCTAGTCGAGCCGAAAGTCGTGGTAGTCTACGTGAGCGCGTCAGCAGTCGTCGCCTCCGTCTTATCGATCGTCCTGATCGACAGATGCGGCAGGTAATTCATTATCATTATCGTCATCATTACCGGTATTGTCGCCGGTTGGTCGTTGCGCGCGGATTAGCCGGTCGCGTTGCGTCAGCGGTTCAATTAAACCGATACCGATCCTCTCCCAAAGTGTCGGAGAAAAGGAAAAAAAAAAAAAATCACGTATCGTCGGGATTGCACAATCAAATAAATTCAATTAACCCAACGGCTCAAAAAATACGTACACTTGCGGCGAAGAAGAAGCTAGATAGATAACTCGGAGAAATGATTTTTTTTTTTTTCATTAGTAGGTACACAGCTATTTTATTCTCTCTTTGCAGGGGCTCTCTTTTTTCACTATAATATGAGAATTGGGGGTGTTTTAATTGTTACAGGCGAGCGTTGCTAGTAGCTTCGAGTCTCGGGGTGTCGGTCGCAATGTCCGGCCTTGGCGGTCACTTTTGGCTGATCGACCACGGCATCGACGTCGACGATTTCCAGTGGCTGCCCGTGGCGTCGATCTTCCTGTTCGACGTGGCCTTCTTTCTGGGGCTCATGTGCGTGCCGAGTGCCGTTCTCAGCGAGCTCTTCCCCTCGAACGTTAAATGCATAGCGGCCTGCATGTGCAGCCTCACCAGCGCGATATTCGCTTTCGTGGCGACCAAGTCGTACCAGCCGCTCATCGACCTCATCGGCCAGAGCAACGTTTACTTTACGTACTGCGGCTTGACGTTGCTGGTCGTGCCTTACGCGCTGATCTGCATGCCGGAAACCAAGGGCAAGACGTTGCAGCAGATTCAGGATAAACTCGTGAAACGCTGAGTCGGCCCTTCGACTCGAGGCTACGTTTGTACACGCGAGGTGGATTTCGTTGCATTTTGCGCTGGGCGCATTCTACGTTTGAGATTTACTGTAGTGCCTTTTTTTTTTTTTAAAGTTTACTTAACGGTTTTTCGTGATGCTTTTTTACAAATGTGTGTGAGGAAATCCATATCAAAATATATCCCGTTTTTATCTCCCATTTGAACAAAAAAAATTTTAATTGAGGCCCACCTTTGAGATAGGACTCATTTTGTGTGTGCCTTGAAATACATTTTTTTTTTTTTTTTTTTTTTTTATTAAAGTGGGGGACAAAAACGGGGTATTTTTTGTGGATTTCCTCGTATATATTTCATTAATGATGATACGAGTAGATGTAATACTTTGTTTGTTTTTCCATCCTCCTAGTGTATAACTACGCGTGAGATTTTTTTAGACATTAAAATTTTTCGTGTGATTCATAATATCCCTTTTGTAGAAACCATAGGTGGTACGTGTACGTGATAGAAACAAGTATATTATTTATTTATATGTTAAATTTTTCCTCCCGTCACACAAGAGGCTGAAATGAATAACAAAAAAAAAAGTAATAATAATAATAATAATCAACACGTCTATTTTATACGTTTGTAGATCAATTCTTTATTTTTAACAAATGTCTCGTTTTATCACATATATATATATATTTGTTATTTTATTGTTATCATATATCATTTATCATCTCAAAAATGAAAAAAATACACTAGACAGTGGGACGTTGAATCAGTTTTATTGTTAGTAAATTCATTTGTACACGTTGAAAAGTTATGCCAGCCTCTGCGAGACGCGATGACGTTTTGGTAACGGAATTGTCTTCGCATTGACGACGAGGTACGCAGCACCGGTTAAAATGTCAAGATCGGACCTTCTCGGTGATCGAGTATGTCTGGAAATGGTTTTAATTTATATTTTAGATCTAATGGCGAGGACACCAAGTAATGTTCCGATGCGTACCTTTGGCAATGCTCCACCAGGGCAACCGGATGTACGTGAGAAAGGCGTTTAGGGGCGTGGACTGGGCTCTCTTGGTCTCCTTCCAAAAGTGGAAAGTCTGGGTGAACCCTCGCATCGTCCACAGGGGATTGTAAGCACCGTCGTCGAGTTCTGGTAACAGAAAAATTTTCGATCCAGTAGTTGAGCCAATTTTTTTTTTACACTGCACGCAGGGCAACTACTTTGTGAACACAAAAGTGGTGCAACTAACTATTTCCGTACTGAGGGAAAACTAATTACTGGAATTTATGTTCATTTATTCAATTCACTCTACCATCAGTACGAAATAATAAGACTATTCTACAGTTTGTATACTTTGGCTATTACTCTTGTTTTAACTAGTTACTGTCAAACAAGTTGTACAACGTGTTTTATATGTTTTCTGGAATAACTTTTTATTCATTGTGTTTCGTAATCGTGAAAAAGTAAAAATTACAAAAAAGACATTAATTCGAAAACAGTGACATATAGATAAATATAGACACTGAAAAAAAAAACAATGTAGCTGTGGGAACGTGTGTTGATTCATGCCACGTGTGTATAATTATTATATGTATACAGACACCAATATAAGCATGTTTCCGACACGGGAGATACATTTTTTGTTTCGAGTGGACTTTGAATGCACCTTATCTGTGACGTAAAGATAATTTTATCAATGGGCGAGAACGTAATACGTAGGTTCCAGCTTTATCAAAAAGCGTCAAACAATGAGTTTGGAAATTAAATCGAAACACGCATTCCGTATAAGATATATTTAAGTGCAACAGTCTTGTCTCAACTAATTTTCATTATTATAAAAAAAAAAAAAACGTTAAAAACAAAAAATTTATTTGTACCATCGTGTGCGTATGGATTATATACTTTGTGTTATTTTCTACGAATATCTAGATCTACAGGAGATAAAGTTTTTACATAAAATTCGAATAGACCCTTAATACGGAATTCGCTTCTCAAAGTCTTTTACAATCGTTATTAAAATTATTTACATAATATGTTTCATCACCGACAACTGTAATATAGGGATTACAATAACGTAACACATTTACGTGTTTATTTTTTCGCTTTTTTTTACCACATCGAAATAAACCCACTGTAGAAATGCAACGAAAAAACGTTCCGTCATATGTACAATATATTTATAAGGGAGTTGCGTATTCACAAAATTACAATTGTCATTGTAAGAATAATTCGCGTGGTTTTATAACGACGAGCTTCATACAATACAATCAATAGATCGCACAGCCTCAATTGTCAACGTATGCCTGATGTCTCAAGCAATGACCCACTCAAGCCGAATTCCTAAAGAAAGGATCCATCCGAACTCTGGTTACATAGGTATATATTATATAGGGTAATACTAAAGATCCACCGTGAGAGTAGTAGAGGTAGTGGTGGTGGTGGTGGTGGCTGTGTAATATAGTTTCGCGTACCCCTGTCGCACCAGTAGTAGATAGCAGTGCCGTCCGGAGTGACGCGATGGGGCGGAAGGGGCTGAGCCCCAAGGGAACTCGAGTAAGCTCGCCGCCTGCGTCTCCTGGGCAACGTGGCGCTTCGCTCGGGTGGACACGGGCTCGTTGTATCCGCGACGTCGTTACCATTGGCTTTGGCTGTCTCGTCGTCCTCGTTGCAGCCGTTCAACGGGTGGTGGTGCGTCGCGTCCTCGAAACTGCTGCTCAGGTGGGTCGTTTTTTCGTGGATGAGGCTGCGCGACCTGCCCCTTCGGCGCTCCGCGAGCCGTTGGCTGCGAGTCTGGGCTTCCTCGCCCGCTGTCGGCTCCTGGTTTTCGTTGTCGCAGCAAGGCAGCTCTTCCTTGCCGTTGACCAGGATCGCCCCGGTGCCGAGTTTCTGGCGCACCCTTTTGTCGTTCGTTGGTGACGTGCCCATTTCGCTGCCCACTTCGATGGGTTGATGCGACTGTGGCTCTTCCTCTTCGTTTTCCATCGAGATTTGGCTTTTCAGACCTACATGTACACACGTCAATATTGCAGGTGGCTTGCCTTTTTTTTTCTTTTTTTTTTCTTTTCTTTTCTTTTTTTTTTTTTTTTTTTACGAGTAAAATGAGCCCTATCCTCGAAGGTGTTCCTCAAAAAAATGTTTTTTATTTAAATGGGGGGGAAAAAAACGGGATATTTTTTTGTGGATTTCCTCGTGTATCATACGTTGTACAATCGCAATTCGCAAGTAGTGCATGTACCTATACATTGCAGTTGACGACTATTCGCACTGCTCGGCTATACATATGTACAAAAGATATGTCGTTCAAGAAAGACGAATGAAATAAATGTTTCCTATTCCATACGTTTGAATGGCAGATGCAACCTGATGCTTCTTCTTCTGTGATCTCAATGCGCTGAAACTCCAAAGCATATTATATAACATGTGTACCTGTGCCCAGTGGCGTTGAAAGAACCTAAATCCATATCCCTAGAAACCTTGAAAAAGTGGCTCCCATAATTGATTAACCCGAGCCTCCTTTACACACGCTCTCTCCCTCTCATTACTGTTACGCGATCGTTATCTCTCGCGCGACAAACGCACAAAGCGAAAAAGGGAGAGTTTGAATTAACGAAAGCCACATATGTATGTATGTGCATTACCTATATACACATTGTGTAACCTGCGGAGCAGCGAACGTGTCAGCGGCACACGCAGATCCCCGGGTTCGTGTGTACACATCGCCCTGGTATGATCCGTCAATTGCAGCCGGTATAATAGGTGTATAGGCTGCGATAAGACTTGCGTAACTGGCCAGCGTTTACTCTCTTGTATACCAATACTGGGTACCCCCCCCCTCCGACCCACCTCTTTCATCGATAAGCACCCATTATAAAATTGTGTATATTATACACGAGGGTTGTNTAAAGGTGAGAACTTCATCAAGATTTATATCCAGTAAAAGCTCCATAAATAAATAAAAATTATAGCAAAAATGCATCCATCGTTTAGCGCGCAATGTATTATTCCAAGCGGGTCTAGCCTACGGTTACCAAACAAGCTGGTTAGCAAGCTGGAAGCTGCACAAGTCAAAGACAATGATCTTACGTGTAATTATACTTCGTGACGCAAGCTTTCACTCTGCAATGAAAAAAAAGCCTGAGCATCTTCCGTAACATGTATATCAAAGTTATACCCTCCGAGATACTCGTTAATTTGTTTTTTTTTTTTTTTCTACTTCAGAAGAATGTGAGGCTCACCGCAAGGCGGGGCCGCATCGCTGCAGGTTCGATCCCTTTTGGACAGCAACAAGGGCGACCTGGACGACGCGTAACAGCTAGCAGGGCGATTATGATGCGGTCTAGCGCAGTTTCTGCGTACGGCGGCTGGCGACGATTGAGCCGAGCGTGTTCCGGTTACTCGCCTGGGCGTACCGGCTGACGGCCAATGCCCACCACCCCGACCCTCCTCCTCGGGCTCTTTGCTCATCTTCTCGCCTAAGCGTCCGAGACATGTGATTTTTGTTTTGCCTACTTTCATTTTTTTTTTTTCTTTTTTGTACGATTTTCATGCCAAATGGGTTATTGGCTGATGCGTTCATGTTTTAGGGTGCCGTAGAAGTTACACAAGTGGTTTGGCGTGTCGTTCGGAACGGTTTGGATTTTTTTATGTGAAATTTTTAATTAATTTTCTTACTGTGCTACCGTGTACAGGCGTTTGTTGTCTTTGTGATCGTATGAAGCGTATTTTTATATACTACTTGACTATAAAAAAACTGTACGTTTACGTGAAATTTTAATCGTGCTTCGGAACAAACTTTTAAAATACTACAATGGTAACAACTGTGGACACTTGAATTTGGGAGAAACTATATAATCTGTACCTAAAAATATTTTTCATAGCAAGTATGTTCTAACTGGTAAACTCGTCGTGGTATGATGGGATTGCGGTTGTACTGATTCATATTTTACTTGTCGGCGAAATTTTTTGTCACCTTCGCACAATCCAATCCCAAAGTACAATGTATTTTATTTTACATAATATGAACCATTTGAATTAATTTAAAAAAGAGATTGAAAAAAAAAAAACAGATGTAACAGAAGTAGTTTGGCATGCACAACTATGTAGATTGAAAATTAACAGGATAAAAAGAGAAAAAGGTGGAAAATTAGCTGGAAATGTATGTGTTAGAATGCTAGTGGTAAAGATTTGTTGGTATACAAGCGAACGCAGAGTAGTTAAGATCGTGCAAATATGCGACACGTACACTTGTGGACTCGACACCATAGAGTTTATAATCAATAATGGATAATTTAAAGTAACTGCGAAATATTATTCGGCAACTTGTAAGATACTATGCGTAATAAACACAAGAGACGAATATTCAAAAAAAAAAAAGAGAGGAAAAAAAAAAGACTCGTATGCGATCTGTCGTATCCACATGGTACCCCGTCATTACCATCTTTGAGATCCCCGGCCTCGATCTCGCTAAGCCCATTGGCGATGGAGTCCAGCCCCTCGTTTTCCGACCTGGCCTTGGCGGCCGCGCTCTCGGGCTTGGTGCGCCATCCCCCGCGAACGAAATTGTTGAGGTTCGAGCTCGGGTCCGACAATCGGCGCTGGTGCCGGTACAGGAAAAGCTCCTCGGCGTCGTCCCAGTCGGCGTCCCCGAGGGCGTCCGTCAGGCAGTAGCCCGGCTCCGAGGTCGGGGTCTCCGCCCCCGAGCCTTTGGGCTTCGTCACTGCCATTTCCGCGTGACCTTTGCCTGTAAGGGGTTTTAAAATTATTTCACTCTCGCCATCAAAGTGTGCCAAAATGGTCAATTGACTCTGGTAGGATTAATCAAGGGCCATTAAGAGTACTCCCATTTTGGGGCAGCCACGGCGATGATAGGATAGGAATTGAGTTTAGTCGTATTAAGTTAGTTTATGGAGTTTGGTAGTATCGTGCATACCTTTCGGGCCTTTCATTCTCACGAACTCAACTCTCTGCGTGGTTGCCCCCGAGAACAGGCCAAAGGTCATCCTCTGTGCCATTTTCGTGCTCAAGCTCGACTGCTTTGGTACCGATCGGAAAACAAACGGCCAAATTGGAATCGTTGCTTTTACATTCCAAATAATAACAGCAGTTTACACCTACCCTGGCGTCGTAGACCTTTTTAAGCGCGTCGTATCTGATGGAGCCGAGGAAGATGACGCCCTGCACCGCGCCCTGCCTGTCGGAGGCCACGAGCTCGACGCACACCATCTCCCCGTCCCTGACTAGGATATCACAGAAAACCTCGTCGAAATTGTCGACCATGAAGCAGATGTGCGGGTACGTCATCTCCTCGAGGTCGCCCTTGGCGTCCATTCGCCGGTGACTCGGACTGGCGTACACTTTCTGGGAGTGTCTTCTCAACACCTGTTGCACGAGAGCAGCGTACAAAATACACATTAGTTACCTATACAGTGATGGATACCCTTCGTTTACTACCAAAATAATATTCCTCACGGATAATTGATCTTTTTTTTCTTTTCTCGTATACAATTTCAATTTCACGAAATGAATGAGTGTAATTAGGTAAGATTACAGCTTTGCCAAGACAAATGGACATTGTCACCTGCAATTCCTTGGGGCTGGTCCTCGTGCAAATGGCAAGGGTGAGGGTGTAATCAAACTGATGGACGACCAAATTCAGGTAGACAGTCTCCTCCCAGTCGATGTCGGGATCGCCGATGGGCAGCTTTTTGCTGTCCTTGCGAAACACGTCGACTTCGGTCTCGAACTTGGGCAGGTACCTCGACGACGTCTTAACGTGCTTTTTCCGCACGAAGAAGAGAAGATCGTCCCCGTCTATCGTGTGCTCGGCTTGGAACAAAAAGTGCCGGACAAACAGGTCCGTCCAGTAGGTCGTGCCCTGCAGCATCACGAAGCCCGAGTCCACGAGGTTGCCTTCAACATTTTATTCAACGCTCGTCACCAACCAGCACCGTATCATTTGAATTTTTCTCAACACCAGAGTAGGGGGGGAAAAAAAAATGGCTAAATGAAAAATGCATTCATCCTGAACAAAGTAGCTCCGACACGGCGTTTCATTAAAGATTCATGCTGATTACTATGCGCTTTCGCCTCCCTTCCACCCCGGCTTTAATGCTTCATCGATCATCACTCTGTCGTTCGACTTCTCACAAGAGCGAAACTGACGTCGTCGTCGTTAAGTCGCGGGTAAACACAATCTGGGCACTTTTTTTCTTTTTTTTTTCATTTTGAGCTTGCGTTTGAAAGATTAAACGAGCTTTTTTTCATTTGCAATTAGATCTGTGGCAAGCCAAATGGGAATAAAGTGCCATCCGACACTATTCCACATCGGTAATCTTTGGAAATCAATTATTAGGTCGAGCGAGGTTTTATGAAGATGGGGAAAAAAATAGGGCGACAGGAGATGGAGGACTTGCATCACAAAGAGGTAAAACTCGCCGGGTGGCAAATTTAGGAGATTCGCGTGACAAAAGTTCTGAGTCATCGCGAACAAAGAGGTCGATCGACTGGGGAAACATTTTTATTATTAAAGTTTTTCGCACAAAAGGTAAAGGTAAGAACAAAAAAAAGGCAAAGATATAAATAACTTGTGATTAATAAAAAAAGAAAAGAAAAAAAAAAGGTTCATGCAAGAATTTTTTTTCCTGCACGTGGAGTTAAGATTGGAGTTCTGTGTTGTTTATTCACGAGGAGAGTATAGGTATAGTTTCATATGCGCAGTCAACGCACGTAATTTTTCTCGTAGCTTTTTAAAGAGATACGGGATTTCTCGTTGCACTTTATCGCGTACAAAAAGTTACGATGAATACATTCGTGCGAATTATTGAGAGAACGTTGTAGTGTGCTACTGATACGGCTTCATTAAAAATTCAACGCAAAACAAGTTGTTTTGCATCTCGTCACATTTGCCGAATAAATGTTTCATGCCTGATAACATATTAAAAAATGAGCATAAAATTTTCAAGATATTATTCGTCGAGCGTACGCGGAACTTGAGAAAATATTTGTCATATTGGTAGTAGTTGGGCAAAATAATTTTATATCTACATAATCCTAGCAAACGTATGCACGAGTACAATGTGCTTGCGTACGCGCAATGCATTTTGATTTGTTTTGCCGGGATGACGCCATAGTTTGATCAATTGTTCATTGACAACGTAAATAACCAATAAAAAATAAAGTTTGAAAATACCAATTGAAAAGACAACAATAATATTATTTCGAATAAAAATACATAGTTGGCGTAGGAAACACATTTACAAACATTGTTAATTTGTAAACAATGACGATAAAGCTTACGAAAAAAAGTTATACTGTACCGATAGAACTACTTGCAGATTGTGAGCTTTAAGACGTGTAATCGAAATGAAAAGAGGACAATATTGTAATCAAGGAAGGTGGAGTACGTATAGAATGCAAACACCAATCACATTCACAATGAAGCAAAAAAAAAAAAAAAAAAATCAATAAACTCCATGGAGTGACAGACAAACCGTACCATCTTTGGTGGTGAGCAGCTGTCTCATCTCCTTCGTCCTCTGGAAGTTGATCTCCTCGAGGAGCTGTTCTAGCATACTCGGCGTCTGAAGCCTGTTCTTCCCACCCGAACACGCCATCTCGCCCAACTCGCTCTCTCTCCCCCGCGACCGTTCAATGTGCCATTCTCATTATTGGCCAAGAAATACGAAAAAAACCCGGCACTTTGCACTTGTTTTTCTCACTCGGCGATCATATCAGACTCATGTTGCCGCTGCTACACTTGTGCGAGGGCAAGCGGCTGTGTAAGTATACACGGGGATAACAATGGAGTGCATCGCACGCCTCGTCCCATACGCACAGTCGCAGAGAGAGAGAGAGAGAGAGAGAGGAGACGCTCTCTCCTGCGTATATGCGCAGAGAACTGACAGATGTGCGATGTTTTTTCCTCGCCTGGAGCTGATGCGGAGAGGGAGAGAACCGCCCACGCACGGGAGCAGCCGGTTTTGTTAGTTGGCGAGTCAGGTTAGTCGATACTCCGACGCCTGCGCTTTTTCAGCCGGACTCGCTGGCGGATCTTTCGAATAAAAAGGGCACTCCAAGGGGTCGACGCTGCCAAAGCCAAACGTTTCTATCCACATCCTGAACAAAATTCTATTTTTTATGCCAACTTTCATGCCGATCCACGTAGTTTTTTTGGTACAATGGATGTGTTTCGTAATTCAGCGTTGTTTGATTCTAGATAGAAATAATGTACAACTCATTTCACACATCTCAATCACAATTAAATCAAAACATCATTACAAACTTGTTTTCTTTAATTTTCCGTTGATTTTAACGTATACTTTTAAGTTCGGAATCAATGATCAAACTAAATTCGCCCTGTCCGTGGTGAGATGTGAAACCCAGAGTTGGAACAATTAACGGTTCGGAACAAAAGTGGTACCAATGGACAATAATGGCCCCTGGATGTTATAGTACAACCGGAAAAGTATCGATAGCCTTCCGTAGGGGTTCGATCGACGAACAGTGACTAAAAGGATCAAGCAAATCTTACTGTTATTACTTTAACACTTAAATAATAATTACATGGACACAGTGTTACTGGAGGACGAAATTTTTTTTTTTTTTTCATTTCTACGAAAAAACTACAGCGATCATCTCTTAAATATTACTCAACCAATTTAAGTATTGAGCAGGAATTATGAATAAAAAAATTGTCGATTTACCTTTTTTCGTGATTTTACATTATCGAATGGTAAAATGTATGCAATCATCAAAAGAAATCGAAATAAATACTTTGCAACATCAGACTTTCTCGATATAACGCGGTTTTTCAGAGAAAAGATTGGTTAATGATTGTATTGTATCTATTGTTTATCACGTTTATATTAACATCAAATAATATGAACGAGTAGTGTAAATTACCAGCTGTTGTATAAAAACGTCAACTGAATTACCTGTAAAATTTATTATTTAAAATATTCATAAAATAGAACAATAAATCATTAAACATATTGAAAAATTATTAGATTTTAGGTAGAAATAAAAAAATTATAAATAGACTTAAGCGCATCCTCAACCACCGTCATCTCGATAACTCAATTCCCTTCATCATCGAACCGATTCACGAAATCTGTGTCAATGCAGCAGGAGAAAACCGAAATCCATAGGCTGAGATCGCAAAACTTTCCCGATCCGCGAGTCCACTGCTGCAAGCAATCATTTTTTTTTTTTTTTTTTTTTTTTTTTTTTTTTTTTTTTTTTTTTTTTTT